CCTCTAATTAGCTGCAGCTAACGAGCAGCACTTCCCCAGCAGGGGTGCCTCAAAGCTCACTGGTGCAGCATCTTACCCAAACCAGCCCATGTCTGGCTACAGAGAAGTGGTTTAAACGGCTGTACCCTCACCAGGTGACATTAATTGTGTGTGATTACCAGTGGGTGGAAATCAGATAATATTATTCAGGAGCAAGAATAAAAACCACATCTCTCAATGTCTCCTCTCTTCAAAGGGGAAGACAATGTAACACAGGATACGCAGTGGGTGCTAGTAAAAGAAAAACATACTCCAAGTGTTGCAATTATAGGAAGTAAACGCCAGTTACAAGAGTTACATTGTAGCAAAGGAAAGAGGAAACTGACATCACTCTCACTAATAAACTAACTGAGCTTTTCTCTTCAGTTCCTACAGAAGTTAGTTTCAGAAGTTTTCCACTACAGTTATTGAATTTTAGCTCTTTTTTAGCAGTAAATCATCACAGTGAAAACTGTTTAAGTAAGAAAACAAGCCTTTGTGTATGACAGCGGCCAGAAAATAGAGCCAGTTTTTCAATTCTAAATAAAACTCCACTCTCTAAATAAAACACCCACTCTCTAACCTGAGTTTACAATATTTTTTAAAATTAATTTATTAATATGAATGTGTCACCCTAAGAATTCAAGGTGAGAAGCTGCTGTCCTTGCACAGCAGCCACCTCTCCAGCACTGCCTTTACCACCCCACCAGCCCTCCTCCCACCCATCTAAAAAAACCCCCAAAAACTAAATGTTTTGAGCACAGACTGGCAGGGTCTCGTTTGTTTTCACAGTGAGCTCCTGTAACTTCCACAAAACTACCAAGAACAGCCACTTGTTGCCTTCTCTAAGGGCACAGCGTGGGTTCAACCCTCCCTAGAAAACAGAGGAATCATCCTGGGATTCATTCACAAAGAGAAGTCCTTAAAACTTTGTTTGCAGTGCTCATAGCACCGCTTGCTCCTCCCTTAAAAAAAGAAAATTTTAAAAAATAACCAGGAAACCATGCCTGAACCTGTTTTTCCACAACTTTAAACCCAAACACCTTTACTTCTTTACTGAAGACACCTTATTGTCAATGTCTGCATCTTCACAGCTGCTCTGAGCATAGCTTTCAGAGAGTTACAAATAATATGGAAGCAGAGTTTCTGATGCTTTTCTGACACCCACAGCACCCTTTTATTCAGCTCTAAGTGACATGGACAACCCCGGTGAGCAGGACTGATCACCTCTCCAGCAGGACCTAGGATTTGCAAACAGATTTGAGCCAGGCAAACCCGCTCCCAGATTTAGAACAGGTCCCTTCTCTTCTTGTGCAAGGCAAACAGATCTTGTTTGGACAGGAAGTAGGATTTGCAAACAGATTTGAGCCAGGCAAAACAAAGCTGCAGATACGCCCTGTTCACATGGAACCTGGCTAGAAAAGCACTCATGGATCAGTTTGCAAAATCCAAGCAGTTTCCAAAATAATCACTCAGATTTAGAACGGGTCCCTTTTCTTCTCGTACAAGGCAAACAGATCTTGTTTGGACAGGAAGGAGCTTCAGATCAAATTAAATGCTTTAGTAGCAATCATTAATTCTAGACAGCAAATATAAGATTTAAAATTTTAATTCCACCATGGCAGAAAAATCTGATTAAGTGAAGGCCTTTTAATGTTTATGTCTTTAGAAACCATCGATTTGGGCTCTGCCAGAGGTGTGAGGATTAGACTTCATAGTTTTAACTCTAATTTCAAGATATGCACGAGCTTTGTAAAATACTGATTGCGGATCTACTGGATGGGTACCTCCATCCTGAAGGCTTGGTGTGGCCTGGGAACAGTACAAGCACTGCCTCTTCAATTTTAATGCCATTACAACATTTTCAACCTGTCTGTAACAAACCTTAAACTCTTGCAAAGCCATGTCTGCAACCAGGGTAAAACTGGCTTTTTTTCACTAGCACCGAAGACTAACACCCAGTTCCACAGAAAACATTCACACACACATCAGAGATAGCAAATAAATCCCAGAATACCTTTATTCCACACACTGAAGAATGCAAAACCCACACCGTATAACGCATTCCCTCAATGCAGATACACAACGCACAAACACACACACAGAGCTGAATTAAAATTATACAAGCTGATTGCATTTTTAATCTCTTATCTGCAACCCAAGAATTACGCTGGATAGGCACAAGGAAATTTTCCTTGATACCACAATCTAAGAAAGATTAGAATAAAAGGTGAAGGCTACTCACTTCCATCCCCAGAGCACCATGAGACACCTAAAATATGTGGAAAATGGGTCTGTATGGGTTCAGCCTGCCCTTGCTCCAAGCCACTGGGACCTGTGCTGTCCCCAAACTGGGGACAAACTGGTAGCTGGTTACAGCTGGGTGCTGCTATACCCTGCCTCTAATTAGCTGCAGCTAACGAGCAGCACTTCCCCAGCAGGGGTGCCTCAAAGCTCACTGGTGCAGCATCTTACCCAAACCAGCCCATGTCTGGCTACAGAGAAGTGGTTTAAACGGCTGTACCCTCACCAGGTGACATTAATTGTGTGTGATTACCAGTGGGTGGAAATCAGATAATATTATTCAGGAGCAAGAATAAAAACCACATCTCTCAATGTCTCCTCTCTTCAAAGGGGAAGACAATGTAACACAGGATACGCAGTGGGTGCTAGTAAAAGAAAAACATACTCCAAGTGTTGCAATTATAGGAAGTAAACGCCAGTTACAAGAGTTACATTGTAGCAAAGGAAAGAGGAAACTGACATCACTCTCACTAATAAACTAACTGAGCTTTTCTCTTCAGTTCCTACAGAAGTTAGTTTCAGAAGTTTTCCACTACAGTTATTGAATTTTAGCTCTTTTTTAGCAGTAAATCATCACAGTGAAAACTGTTTAAGTAAGAAAACAAGCCTTTGTGTATGACAGCGGCCAGAAAATAGAGCCAGTTTTTCAATTCTAAATAAAACTCCACTCTCTAAATAAAACACCCACTCTCTAACCTGAGTTTACAATATTTTTTAAAATTAATTTATTAATATGAATGTGTCACCCTAAGAATTCAAGGTGAGAAGCTGCTGTCCTTGCACAGCAGCCACCTCTCCAGCACTGCCTTTACCACCCCACCAGCCCTCCTCCCACCCATCTAAAAAAACCCCCAAAAACTAAATAACATCCTAAAAATAAAATAACATCCTAGAGGCTTCTAGATATTCTGGCTGCCCACATGGACAACTCGACATGGCAAATCAGCATGGCTGGTTTCAGCTGAGACCCCATCTTGGAGGTTTGCTAATCAAGGGTCTGGTGAGTTCATTGTACTGGTGGAATCATCATCAAAAGAAATCTGCCCCCAGCCCACCTGCAGAGACTAATGAAGAGAACACACAACAGCTGTAACACAGCTGGTTCCACCCAAACAAGATAGTTTTAAACAGGAGATTAGGTAAATTCTGCACTTTAGGAAAAGTCCTGTGAGAGTTACAAATAATATGGAAGCAGAGTTTCTGATGCTTTTCTGACACCCACAGCACCCTTTTATTCAGCTCTAAGTGACATGGACAACCCCGGTGAGCAGGACTGATCACCTCTCCAGCAGGACCTAGGATTTGCAAACAGATTTGAGCCAGGCAAAACAAAGCTGCAGATACGCCCTGTTCACATGGAACCTGGCTAGAAAAGCACTCATGGATCAGTTTGCAAAATCCAAGCAGTTTCCAAAATAATCACTTCAAATTCACCATTAGCTGTGCTGAAGTGGCAGTGATTGAAACACGTAATTTTGCACAATTAACATATTAAAGCCCAAGAATCAAGTCTTGCATCCTGCAGCAGGACATGCCAAGCTGTTAGGAAAGGATATTGATGAACTGATGAAAATAAACCCATTTTTAGTATGAGAGAAAGCAAGTTATAATACCTTGTGTGCTACCTGCCCTGTTTTATCACGTGGTGATACCTGCACAAAATTTGCACATGGTAACAACACACATTAAAGCAAGAGCAGTGTTACAAATCAACAACTCAGTCTCTCTGCATCATTATTCCTGCTTTTAAATTTCCTCTTTTGGTCCTGGTAAAAGTTAACATCAACCTTCGCAAATTCAGTGTCTTTCTTCACAAAAGGACAACTAAGACTCAATCAAAAAGAGGCTGGAAGTCAGAAGCAAGGTGTGTGGTTGAAATGACATTTCCCTAATGCTTTTGGCTCCTTGATAACATCAACCAGTTCCACAGAAAACATTCACACACACATCAGAGATAGCAAATAAATCCCAGAATACCTTTATTCCACACACTGAAGAATGCAAAACCCACACTGTATAATGCATTCCCTCAATGCAGATACACAATGCACAAACATACACACAGAGCTGAATTAAAATTATACAAGCTGATTGCATTTTTAATCTCTTATCTGCAACCCAAGAATTACGCTCATTAGACCTGTATTTCTTCAGCCTGGATATAGTATCTTGTATTTACAGAGTTTTAAAATAATCTGTGCCTTTCACACAAAACAAATTAAGCTTTAATATGTAGGTGATGCTCTTTATTAAGGGATAAGGAATTGACTTGACAAATATGTTTCACGTAAAGGAGAAAAACCAGCGGCAGAACTAGAAATTGTTTCAGTCTAATAAATTCCAAGTTCCACAAAAATATCACTCCAGAAGGATGATTAAAAAAAAAAAAGCCACCAAACCAACTTCACACACCATTACACTTGAAAGTCCAGATGCACAACGGATTTTAAAAACCTACAAAAATATGTACATTGTGCTCACTTCATATAAGTTACAGATACCAAGACAAAAAATTGACACTTCACCTATATGAAAAAGACAAACTTCATAATATTTTTACCTTTGTATAATAAATTAATTCCCTCCTCCACACCAAAACCTTTTCAGTAGGTGTATACATTCTTATAAATAGGTAGCTACAAACCACGTAAAAAAAAACCCCAACAAACAGTTTGATCCAGTTTTTACCATTTTATTGAAAACCAAGAGTTACATACATGTTACATTTAATTTCAGTTGAAGTTACAGTGAGTTTTAACATCGGGCCAGTTTTCAGCTCTCCTCTTCTGCCTTCCCCCCCCGCCTTCTCTCACCACTTCCAGCACTAAATGTGACCACAAATTATGAAGGGCAGAAGGACCAAGACTGAAGTAGTAAAGCAGGTTCTGATCTGAAGTAGGGCAAAGGGTAGAAGGAACAAGGAAATAGTGCAAAATTGATGTTTTAAGAGTCTGTTGGTTGAAGCCAAGCTCTATCGAACCCAGTTCATATCATCTAAATAAAAAGCAAGCAGGTTTTTTAAATTGAGATTGCTTTGAATCCTTATCTGTGTCCACAATATTGTCTATTACTATCAAAACTTATCAAAGACTTTGTTCATAAAACATGGACTTAATAAAAACACTGCAGAGAACCCATGAAAGCATCCACACATTGGCAACATCACACCTTGCCCACCTGAGCCTCTGCAACCCAGCTCTCATTTGAGGCAGTAGAACCGGATTCCAAAAAAGGAGAAAACCTCTCAGATATCTCCATCAGCCTCCCCGGAAGAGGTGAAAGCCTTCAGCGCTGGGAAAAAAAAAAAAAAAAAAAATCTACTTAAACTCCCTTTGACTAGACTTTTAATGACTGTTTACCTCAACATTAGTACCCCGACTTGCCCTAAAAAAATCTAACAATTTAAAGCAGTACGGTTTTCCTCCCGGAACTGGAGGAAGACTTACAGAGCTGCCGAACACAGGGGTTTTATACAGAGGCAAAGCCCCCACACACACAAACACATAGCGTGAAGGCCTCAACCTGCCGCCCTCAGGGCAGTGCTACCTGTCCCTCCGGCCTGCTCCTCTACGGGCCCACGGCTGGCCCAGCGGGCCTGGGTCCCGGACTGGCGTGGCCACGGGCCCACCTCAGCCGAGCCCCAGACTGCCAGCCCTCAGCCACGGTTCAGCGGCGGGGAGAGGCTCTGGGCCGCCCTGAGGGGCCTCCGGTCCTCCCTAAGGAGCCTACCCCGCCATAGCGGCCGCTCCCTCCTGAGGCGGCGCCTACCATCGCGCGCCCGGGGGGAGGCGGCCCAGCTGCCGCGCGCGCCTCCAGCAGCCCCGCTCAGAACATACCAACGGCACGGGGGGAGGGACGATGAGACCGACCCTCCGCGCCGGCCCGTACCACCTGCCACAAGGCGGAGGGGAGGGCGACCGCCACCTCGCGGTTTGCTTGAACGGGCGGCCAAGAAAGCGCCGGGCGCCTCCTCCCCCCGCTCCTTGAGACGTCCTTGGTGCCGTCCGGCTGCCAGCGCCCCGCCTCCGGCCCACGTGAGCTCCTTTCCCAGCCTGCCCTGCGCTCGGCCCCCGCCGCAGCCGCTTCCCCCCGCGCCAGCTCCGCGGCCCGTTCCCCGCCGGCAGCGGCCCGCTCTCGCCGGGAGGCCGCCTCAGCTCGCCGTGACTCCCGGCTCGGGCCGCCCCTAGCCCGGCGAGCCGCCTTTTTTTTTTTTTTTCCGCGGGAGGCCTCCCGCCATCCGCCTGGTCCTCGCCGGGCGCCGAGGCTAAGGGAGGCGGAGAAGAGCTCCCGGCGGTGCCAGGATGTCAGGTGGGGACTCGGCGGCGGCGGCGGCGACCGCCTCCCCTCAGCCGCTCCCGTTCTCCTTGCCGAAGCCCCCTCCCCTCATGCAGCTGACGCCGGGGGACGCGGTCCGCCCCGTCTCCTCCGCCGCCGACCAATCGCCGAAGAGCGCCCGGCTGGCGGGGGGGGGGGG